GCCTTGTAGACCCAAAGGAGGTAGCTATAAGTCAGACTTGATGTCAGTGAGTTTGGTTTGGTTTGGTTTTGGAATCCTAGAATACATAATAGTTTTAGAATTTCTAACATAAACAACTGAAAAAAATAAACCTACCAATTAAAGCTCAGTAGCATAGCACCTAAGGCACTTGACTGCTAACCAGAAGGCTGGCGGTTCAAACCCACCAGCCACTCCTCGGAAGGAAGGTTGGGCAATCCTACTTCCGTAGTGATACTGCCTCGGAAACCCAAGGAGGGGTCGCTATGAGTCGGGCCGACTCGACGGCACTTAACAACAACAACAACAACTTGCTGTCTTTAGCTTTAAAGCATATAGTAAAAAATGTTGTGCTTTGGAATAACCAGTCAGGTTGGTTCTTTCTCCTTCAGTGTAATTTTGCTATTCATGTGAAATACTGTCAGGTTTTTTGTTTGTATTCACTTTTGGGTCCCTTCCATATCCTTACTGATTTAACTTATAATTTTCAGTAAATTTTAGAAAGTGAAATTAAACTTATAATTTCAAATTAAAGTTAAGTTAGAATTGAAGAAAAAAAGGACGTGGGGAGGAATTAATGAGTGGCTATTTTACTTTGATAAATAAGGTTTTTGTAGTCTAATTGGTGAATTTTAGTTATGTGCTGGGCACTGTGTACATATACACCATATACACTGTGTTTCATTTACTTTTTTTTCCAGTTAAATATTTTACCTTAGTGTTCATTCCATGTCAGTACAGAAAAATATGTCTCATTCTTTTTTTAGAGCTGCATGGTATTTCATTGTATTGATGTATATACACCAATCTCTACTGATGGACATGTGGGTGTTTCCATTCTTCTGATACTGAAAAACAAAGATCTGATCTTTGTACATACATCTTTGGCACATGTATGATTAATTTATCAGATCACTTTTAAAGTGAAAAGGAAATTACTAGATCCTGCTTTTGAGGAGGGAGACAGGTTAGTAGTTTGAAGTTATAAAAGCTGTATTTGAATATTTTGGTCTTTAAATGTTTAAATTATAAGTTAGCTTCTAAGCTGTAATTTTAAGTATACAACAGTGTAACATCTAAAAATATATTTTTATAACTAGTTACTACTACTATTCACATGAAAATTGCTTGTTAGCTGTATGCTTTACTAAACTCTGTCACAGATGTAAAAATTGATAATTTAGATTTATAACTGTCATTGATAGTATGAAGAGAAGGAAATGAAAACACTTTCACATTGGCTTAAAGTCAACTTTTTATTGTTTGCTGTTCACCACAGTCTATAAACACTAAATAAACCTAGCAGGATGTGTAAATTTAAATGTACATATACCTTGGGCATATTTAGTAATAAACCAAATGTATCTTATGCTTATCCTTATAAGACTGGAGAAAATTCTTTTACTATTTAATAGTATTAATGTAGAATAATTAATATCATCACATAATTATGTTATAGTTTATTTAGCCCTATTTTATTTCTCCTGCTTGTTTGACATTTTTAACACCTCTTTGTATGCATGTTATAGAGCTCTGGTAATGCAGTAATTAAGGCATTCAGTTGCTAACCAAAAGGTCGGTGGTTCAAACTTACCAGCCTCTCTGTGGGAGGAAAATGAGGGAGTCTACTTCCATGAAGATTTATAGCCTTGGAAACCCTGTGGAGCACTTCTGCTCTGTCATATAGTGTTGCTATGAGTCGGAATGGTCTCTATGGCGGTGGGTTTGGCTTGGTACCCGTGCTAGAAGGAGTTCAGGGTCATGGAGAGGAAAAATCCACATACTTGATGTGATGGGCATTTTTGTCTTCATATTTACTTCCTTATTGGTTTTTATACCTAGCTCCCAAAGTTCATATGAGTCAATTATACTTAACTTTGTAGATGATAAGAAATTTGTAAACAAGATTTAAATTTCTTAAGCTCACAAGTAACTTTCGCCGTGTTCCATTTTGCACAGTGCCTTGGTAACCTAGCCAAGGATTTTGTGCCTCCTGGTAGTTCTCGTCAGATCAGGAGCTGGAAGAATAAGGCCTACTTTGACCATACATAGATCAGAAAGAATTGGTTTCAGCCTGTTGATAGGAAATTTAGGGGTGGGGAGGCAGCAAGTGGAATCTCTCTGCAATCAACATAGAGCTCCAGAGTTTCTTCAGGTAACAAAAGGTTGCACATAGACCCTTTATCAGTGACAAAAGTCTAATTGTTCAAATAAGTAACTTAGTGGGAAAGAAGACCATTATCTAAAAATAAATGTTATGTGTGTTTTTTGATTATACATGCGCTTGCTCTTTCTAGCAACATTATTTACATAATTAAATTTACTTGTTTTTAACAAAAGGTGCTCATAAAGGTGCTTGTGATTTGATTTCTAAGAATATATCAGGTCAGGAAAACAGAAGAAAAAAATAGCCTTTTGGTTTTCATGTGTCTCTTTTATAGTATATTCAAGGTTGTAGTATATTTAGAATTGTTAGTTTATATTTGTCTTCTCAATAGTAACACAAAAGGACTGATGATTACTAGTGTTTCCTAGAAGATAAGTAGCTCTTGTTACTTTCTTTTTTAACTTTAGTGAGTAAAGCTAAATAAATGCTTAAAGAACTGTATTCTTAATAAATAAGCTAAATTAACCAGGAATTAATCTGATTAGCCCTGAACCATTATTTACCTGTTCTTTAAAACTTTCTAAGTGGTTAGATTCCCACTTATTCTTTTTTCTTACGTCTCCTAAATATCCTCATTCTACTTCCTGATGTTTCTTAAGCCTTCTTAAGCCTTCACTCTCTTTTACTAGTTCTTTTAGCATACTCTGTTAATTTTTGCAATTTATTAAAAAATAACTTACTATGATTATATAATATTGCTATAATTTTAAGGTATGACAGTGAAACTTGAACTTCTCAGTAGTTAGCATTCTGATCTATTTTGGCTTCTCTAATATCTGCATTAGAGAAGGAACCAGAAAAGGATACATAAACCTTCCTGGCAGTGAAGAAACAGCTTGTGCATCCAACAAAAAGCATCTAGTCAGAAGAGCCAAAGACTTGAAGGTTAATCCTCACACATGGTGCTTTACTGGTTTGCACTTCTAAGGGTGGGGGAGGTGGTAAAATGGCATTGTCTGTTGATGGGAATTAGGGAAAGGATAAATAACCACTATCCTGTAGCCTTTGAAGGTTCAGTTTGAGGAAATTTATGTGAGAGGTAAATGGATGTGGGATGAGGTGGCATGTGGGAACTGGGTAGAGATGAACAGGTACCTCTCAGTAGCTCCTTATGGTGCCACTCTAAAGTACATAAAATCAGCTTTCTAGAAGGACATTAAAAGTTATTGTACAGTGAAAGCAGCATCCCATACTTCATACAGTATGTAAGATTATTATATGATGCTTATTAATGATAATTATGGTAATAAAATGTTTAATTATGTTTTCCAATACATCACGTTGTTCAGATAGTTCATTGGCTTGGACCCCTGTGTTTCTCCTTATTTTAATCTTTCTACTTTTTTCTTTAATTTCATAAGTGAGGGAAAAATGTTAAAAAATTCTTTATACTTTGTTTAAGATGTGAGAAAAGTATTTAAAACATCTTAGACTTGTTTTTTTAAAAAAAGAGTCAGCTTTAAAGGGCCAGTCTTAAGATACTTGGAAAACTCTGCTCTCTAGAATTTCTCCATAGAGTGATTTTTTGGTATTCTTTCCCCTCTTCTGATACAGTGTGTAGTCCCCCACCAGACTGTGTTCATTACTTTTCAGCATGTAGGTTTACCATTGTGATGTGGAGGTTGTTGAATTTGGCAACAGAGGAAGATTTGTAAATGTGAAGAATGTCTTTTGTTTCTGTGGCCCAGACCACATTTACTGTCTGTCTTAAGCCCTTTCTTCGATGCTGGAATGTTCTACAGAGAATAGATATGCACAGGTAGTCAATTTGACATTATGGACTTTTTGTTCTCAGAACTTAGGTAATTAGTTTTGAAGTATTGAATATGAAAAATTCAGTTCACAACTGTTGATTATGTTTACCAAAAATACAGAAGCTCATTGTGATTATCATAAATACTGAGTTGAAATAGAGCTACCTCACCAACAAAATACCAGGGTCCTTTTAAGGAGAAACTTCAGTTTAAACCCCTTTGACAAAGCTTTCTTTTTGTATTAATGCTTTTTATAAAACATTGTTTTATTTTTATGTTCAGGAAATAAATAAGCTGATTTACAACAGGAGCCAGGTTAGCTAGTTCCTTTCCTGAACAAAAATAAGAATAGTTAAGAGCATGTGTAATCAGTATGCTGTCAAACAGCAAATTTTATGTACGTTATCAAACAGCAACTTTTATGTACATTATAATTTACTTTCGTTGGTGTTAATTATTCAGATTTCCTGCAAAATTTTATGTAAATGATTTGCTCTCCTATAATTCATAAGCACTGAATTTATTTACAGATGATATTGATCTGAATCTCTCCATTCCTAAATCAAGTGATTTCCATAAATATTTAAGGGATTTTCCTTTCCTTTCTTTTTTTTGGCAGTTTAAATCCATTGCAGTTAAAACGCAAAACAAAACTTTAGAAATGAATATGCTACCCAATTAGTTAAAAAATAATCAGGGTGAACTTGATGTAATGGTGGTTAAAGTGGCAGGGGATTAAATTAATTTCTTATAGGTAATATCAGCAATTCTGATTTTCTGTTATCTCATTATTATTATCTCCTGAAGCTTTGACCAGAGCTTGGCATTGTGGGCATACTTTCCCAAATAAGACTTATATTTCTTTTATGAGGATGTATTGTTATGTTTCTTTTAATGAATCTAAAATTAGTTGGAAATTATTAAAACAATTAAGTTTGCTAAATTGCATCAGTGGACTTAACACAATATAGCTATCCTATGTGTGAGGGAATCTACCAAGAGAATGCTCTTTAATTCTCTTCTTCACTACCCTCTCCTCCCCACCACTTTTGTTTTCAAAGAGAAACTGGTAGTCTGGGTAGATTCAAGACATCTTTAAGAGAAAATGTCTTAGGAAGCCCCAAGGAACTGATGAAGTTAAGTGTGCCATCATTAGTGTACGCTGTTCAGAACAACATGGCTTTCCTAGCTCTGAGCAATCTGGATGCTGCAGTGTACCAGGTAAGTGGAGTTGTTGATAATGCAACACACAGAATCTTAAAAACTCTTTTTATGGTGAACAACTTTTTATTAAACCTTTATAAAATTATCAAGAATTTTTTTCTAATAAATCTATAAATATAGGTGTGTGTGTATGTGTGTGTATACACACACACATACACACACAAATGTAGATTATGTGCTAGAGACTGTTATTAGCTGAATCCATTAATTCACTGCTTTACCTCTAGGTGACCTACCAGTTGAAGATTCCCTGTACTGCTTTATGTACTGTTTTAATGTTAAACCGGACACTTAGCAAATTACAGTGGGTTTCAGTTTTTATGCTATGTGGAGGAGTCACACTTGTACAGTGGAAACCAGCCCAAGCTACAAAAGTTGTGGTAAGAAACAAAATGTATACTCTAAGAATAGGAAAATTCCTTAAGTCTAATATACTTCAAATGGTCACATAAATGAATGCAATATGTTTACATTTCTTTCATTTAAAATGGTCTTTGCCTTATAATAGATAGGCTTTTTGTACCTTCTTAGTATAATGTTGTTTATTATTAAGGATAATAACAGTTACTGGTTTTCTGTTTCTTAGAGAGGACTATGCATAAACTATGTTAGAAAGTACCTTAAACATAATGCAGTTGAACCCCTTCAAAAGTGAAGTTCAAAGAGGCAAAGTAACTTATTCAAGGTTATATATATAATTAATAGCTAACCTATGACTGAAATTCTGCTAACTTCCATACAGTATATGTATTGAGAACACCGAGGCCTCTTTTAGACATCTTCTCAGAAACACTGGGCAAGATACAGGTTTTCTTCAGCAAGTTTTCATATTCTCCCTCAACTCACAACATTTCTTATTCTTTTGCACATACTCACTGTCATGATTGTTGTTTTGGTTCTCCAGTACTGCTCTAACAGAAATACCCAAGTGGGTGGCTTTAACAAACTTTTATTTTAAAAAATAAAAGGGATTTATTCTCTTACAGTTTTGGAGGCTAGAAGTCTATGTTGTTGGAGTCTATTGGCTAGGATTTTGTTGAAGATTTTTGCATCTTTTCATGACGCATATTGTTTTTTTCCAAAAACAACTAGGCAGTAAAGCTCTAGTGAATGACCTGAAGATCATGGGCTTCTCTCTGCAACCACATTCTCTTCAATTTTTAGCAAATAAGGGAGCATGTTCTCTTAGGAGTATAAGGCAGCTGGGAATATATGGACAGCTTCTGAAAGTGGGAAGTCAATTCCTTTTTAGGTAGTTACCAGAAGGGGGAAATGGTGTGTTCCCCTTCCCTCTGAAAATGAGTTTTAAGTTAATAATTTATTGTTTTCAGATGATACATAACATGTTCATATTCTTGGTGACATTTCAAAACTGAAGAAATATGCACTACACATTTAACTCAGTTGTAGACTTTTAGAGAAATAATTTGCTTAGGAAGTATTGCAGTATTTAAAATAGGAGTTTTAAGTAACACTTCATAGTACAGAAAAGATACTGGCTCCACCTCATATAGATAATATGTGTGAAAAGTTAGTAAGCTAACGCAGGTATAGTGCAGCATATCCTATTTTCGGGCCATTCTAGAAAGTTCTTATTTTAAACAGAATGTAGCTTTCCATATTTGCCTCTTGTTCTTTGTTCATGTCACAATTACTCAATCACTATTAGCTTCAAATAATGATTCTTTGAATATTTGAGGACAACTATTAACATCCTTACGTTCCAAGTCTTTTTCCTCCCTTAAAACAACCGTAATATTTCTTTCTATAATACGGTTTCTAGGTCGAGACCTCCCGATCCTCACCTCCTGCCCCACACCTTTCCTTTACCATATTTTTCTCTTCCAGATGCACTCATGCTTGTTACACATCCTTTTAAATAAAAAGAAAAAGAAAAAATTATTTTTTACAGAGAAATTGGAAACCAGATTTGGGTAATCCTATTTTCCTACCATCTAACAGTGCGTTTCTAGCCCAAGAAACACTCTCTTTTCTTACAGAACGAAATATGCTTTTAAAAGCCTTCTTCAATGTTTTAAAGTACCTTTTTTTTTTTTTTTTTTTAGGATTTGGGTGAAGATTTACAGAGTAAATTCACTTTTCATACAGCAGTTCACATATACTTTGTCTCATGTCATTGACCAAAA